AGTCAGGCTAAATGTTTCCCCCTTATTAGAGTGTTTGTGCTAAACTAGCTGGCTGTACGTTTTATTTAAAGAACCTCGTCTATGAAAATCATATTTTTGAAAGTCAGTATGGCTTCCCCAGAACTGCAGTGTTCCAATGACAAACCCAAAAACAGAGATTCCTTTGCACCCTTGTAAGTTGTTCTTTTTATAACACTAATAGTTTTGACATTTGATACTTATATGTTAAACTTCTCTTTCAGTCTTTTTCAGAGTGTCACGCTCCATGTGAGGCTGACCTTGTGTAATTTACGAAATGCTTCAATCTTGTGTGTTGAGGCAGTGTTTCATAAATAGCAAACAGTGGAATCCAATCTTGGTGGGTCTAAGAGTTTGGTAGCGTGAAATGTTGTCAGTGTAGACTTATTTCATTTAAGCTCAGTGTAGCTGCTGCTGTGCAGCATTGCCATGTTAGGAGGATGTCAAGATGCTGAAAATTGTTGTACTTTAGGGGAAAATAATCATCCACGTAATATCTAAAAGGACAAATAGGCATGGAAGTGTAAACACAGGCCTGTTATTTTACTCTCCTTTGATATTCCCTAGACTGAGTACACCTAAAAATCTCAGACTTACAAAGCATCATTATGAGACCTTACTATAAGTGCACTAAAAGCTTCCCAGCGAGTATTAAATTGCCTAAATTATTTGTTTAGTTTAGTTATTAAAACCTAGCACCTAGTCTTTGTTTTCTATGCTCGAGGTAGTCTGTGTGTGTGTGTGTGTGTGTGTGTGTGTGTGTGTGTGTGTGTGTGTGTGTGTGTGTGTGTGTGTTCCAGGAATTTTTCTCTCCCCTGACCCAGCAGAGCAGCAGCCTCACTGTACAGCATATCTCCTGCTTTACAAATTGAACACTGGGTTTTTCCTCCTGTGCTTAACAAAACACTCAGTTTTGAAGTTTGGACCACCACTGTGCACAGGGAGTGTGCAGGGGGCAGATGGAGGTAGTAGTAGCTGATGGAGGAGGCAGGAAAGAATTTGCATATTCACAGATCTACACATATTAAATGAGACAAAGGTGTTGAGTTACAGCTAAGCCAAATCAAGGCATAACAGTGTTTTTTGTTTTTTTTTTATGCGAAAAAAGATGAACAGAGATGGGGGTTTTTTTTTTTCAAGCATTTAATTAAACACCACAAAGCGAATAACTGCATTTCCCAAATTGGAAAGTGCAGACATGTGGAAACACCATGCGAACACATTGCAATGCCCCTGTTTGTGTTTAGTTTAGATAGACACATATAATTGAATTTTCCTGTTTCTCCGCATTTAATTTCCCTCTACGCTAAATCTTCGTTCAGCCAGCAGTTAAACAGATTTCACTGTCGCCTCTGGCAAAGCAGAGACAGTGCAGTGATCCTTTTCTAAAGAACAAATGGGTTGAAGGGATGAATCAGCAGCCGAGTGGCTGACAGGAACTCATGCAGACAACGTGATACTGATGACAGGAGGAACAACAACAGCACGAAGAATGCAAGCAGAGTGGTGAGCAAAAGGAGACGGAAGTGTGAAATGAAACTAAGACACAGCTAGAAAAGGACTGGAAAAATGAAACTGAGGACAATAAGAGAGGAGAAGAGTAGAAGAACATGTATCAATGCTTGTGTGGGGGCTACATGCTTCTAAGCTTCATAAAGAGCCCTGCAGCTTTGTGACAAGTGCTCAAACTGGGTCGGGACGCCCAGAAAATCCTGCCCACCATATCCATGCTAAACTTTTGTGCTCAGTTTACACATCTCCTTCTATTGCCACACATAGTGTTGTGTTTGCATCATTTCAAAAGACATTACATTGCATACACTACTTTCCAAAAGACTTATCTTTTCCTTACAACCTAGTCTTCTCCTTACACCATGAGTACTTTTTTTGTCCTTAAAGGAAAGGTAAGTCACCATAATGTGATAAAATAAACAGATTTATAGCCCCACATCACAAATAATGCAAAAGTCAAATACACAACACTGGGGAAGTGGAAACCCCAGACTGGGGAGAAGAGAGTAAAATAAAGACTGCCTCAACATGGGCATAATTCATGAGGCTCTGAAGTGAAGGCTGTGCCAGCATAAGAGGCTCCTCTAGGATTTTGAGTAGCCATGGGTATGACACTGCAATTCCCGGGACTGCTTCAGCTTTAAAATTGTCATTAACAAGAAACAGTTGCAACATGCAGTAAAACCAGTGCAGGCATCAGATTCTCACCTGGCAGCTTTTTACAAGATTTTGAAAAGACTGTTTTTGTTAAGCCTGAATCGAGAGGTGCAAATTAAACTGATAATGATGACGGTTATAAAGAGTGAATTGATATTATCCCAACTTAGTTTATGAGACTAAAAAATAACACCAGGAGGCATCTATGTGCGTAAATTATGCTAGCCCAGCTAACAAAGGCTGATGATAGCAAGAATTGGAGCTTATCCCTCCCCCTCCCCCTTTCAAAGTTTGGGCACAGCAGTACCCTGGAGGTTAGAGAACTATGAGCATATGGTATCATTGCTGGTTCAAATCTCTGGAGGGAAAGAGTGAATAACAGCCCTGCACTGCTGAACTACTTCTGTGCACAGGATTAAGCTCGCTGATGCAACCGTGCAAATGTGAATCTAGGTGACAGGAAATATATAAAAGTGTGCCCTGTTGATTCTCCCGAAAAAAGTCAAACTAAAGATGGTTCTTAACCAGAAATGATGAGAATAATCAGAATAAACCCTCACAATTCTTCTTTCTCCAGCATGTTTCTTTACCTTTGTGTTTCTGCAGCAGCTCATCCATGTGCTCTATGACTTCATAGTACTCCTCCAGCTCCAGCATACACTGGCAGTAGTTCAGCTCCAGGGGGACAATCATTCGACCTAGGTTAATGTAGTCTATATCACCTGGCATCTCCTACACAAGAATGCAGATTTAAAAGAAAAACAACATGTTCATTCAACACGTTGCTTAGTAGTTATACGGTGCACATGAAAAGTATTCTCAGTTCTCCACTTGTTCCACATTTTGTCATGTTACAGCCTTATTCAAAAATCAGTTGAATTTATTTCTCACCTAAAAATTCTACACACAATAACTCATAACGACAAAGGGAAAACCTTTACTTGAAATTCTTGCAAGTTTATTAAAAATAAAAAACAAAAATACAAAATGCACATAAGTATTCACAGCCTTTGCTCAATACTTTGTTGAAGCACCTTTGGCAGCAGATACAGCCTCAGGTCCTGTTGAGTAGCTTGACACTCCTCTTTTTGGGTAGTTCTTCCCTGCAGGATCTCTCAAGCTCCATCAGGTTGGATGGGGAACATCACTGAACAGTCATTTTCAGCTCTCTGAGAGATTGTCACGGTGTTTCTAGTTTTCTTATGTTCTCGTTTTACTATTGTTTAGTTTCGTTCTTCCTGGTTTAATCATTTGTATTTCTGTTGTGTGTTCTTGTTCATTTAGTCTGTTCTCATTTGTGCCTCCCTGCGTAGTCTACCGTGTATGTTTAGTTCTGTCTCCGTGGTCATTCTTCTTCCATGTTTATCAGTTTGTTACTCTTGTCTCTGTGCTCCGGGTTCGTGCTTCCGTTGCGTTTCAGTACATTTAATTATCATTTTTACTTTACCAAGTGTTTAAGGCCAGCTATCTGTAAGCCACAACATGAAACCTTCAAATATGTCTAAAACTGTTGTGCGTTCACCTTAACATAACTTTTCTTCTCCCTAGAGTATTGCGCTATCCTCACACCCCACCACCCACCTTCTCTGCTCTTATCTAAGACAGGTCTCCTTTTTTTTTCTGCTGCCTGCCTCCCACCGGCTGCATGTAATCAGGGACACCATGAAGCAGAGCAAAACAGGAAAACAGGAATCTCCCACTGGAAAAGAAGGAGCTGCATGTCCCAAAAACCCCAAATCCTGAAGAGACCTCAGAATTCACAAGCTTCCCCAGTACTCATTTTGCATGCCCCTCCCCACACAAACACACAGACAGATTCACACAAACAACACACACACCCTGCCTACATCCCACCTTTCTTCCAACCGCTCTTCACTCACCCTAGACTGGACAGTTTTTAGCAGCAGGACAGCTTCTTTGTACTTGCTGGCAGCATCTCTGTATTTCTTCTGTTGGACCAGAGCATTGCCCTGCATGTGGAGAACTGGCACTGTCTGCAGCTTCTCATCCTTTTCCATCATCCACGACTCTCTGTGGTAGGACATGGGGTCTCCTACCTGCATAGGAGAAGAAGATAAATGATGCAAGTGAATTTTAAACAGGTACTAAGCATGCGTGATAAATTTGTCTATTTTATTACAGTTATTTAAAGCTACAGTTAGTAGTTATTTCAGTCCACCAATAGCAATAATAATTGTTTAACTTTAAACTTTGCTTATATACTTTCAATTTGTGATAATGAAACTTTTACTTAGGTAAAGGATCTACTTTTGGAGACTGAAGAAGTCATTTTGACGAGTTGCAAAACATTTCTCCCACTGAAACGCTAGGTCCAGATAAATAGAATCAACTTTTTGGAATTTCCTTACTTGGATCATTGAGCATGCATCAAGACATTTCATAAAGTATCTACATTTTTCCACAGCTGAAGATTTGTCAGCTGATGTGAAACAGAAATAACGTTAATGCACTGCCACCAATACTGGACTCGCTAATTAGTCTCAAGCTTGTTTGGGAAAATATAATATTTCAAAGCTGAATGTTTTAGACAGAGAGGCACTTTAGTCAGTGCTGTCAGTAAATTTTAGAAAAGAGTAAAGCTGGTGTAGCGTAAGCTAAAAAATGGGAGAAGCTGTTCATTCTCTTCTTCCGCTATTCACTGTCACTGTCACAGATGCTTACCTGCAGCAGCTCCATAATAAATATGAGCGGCTGAGGAGTCCGCATCAGCTCATCCAGCTCGGGGAAACCCGTGGAGTGATAGTGGAACAGGTTTCCCATTCCACACATGTGTCTCTGACCCTCCAGAGGGTCTTTCCCTTGAGCGATCAGTCTCATTCCCTTGGACACAATGGGGTACAAGCCTGTGTGCTGTGAAATTAGCACATCAACAAAATCATGCACGCAACATCTAGAATAAAACACAGAAGCACTTAATCATGCTAACCCTCTGGTTCTGGCAGCCCGTGCCAATCAGCCGTACAAGAAAAAACACAAGAAGTCGCACAATTTTACTTGCAAATTACATTTTCCTCCAGAAGGAAAAACAGAAAAAAATTGCACAAAGAGATTGCTTTGTTTATGTTTATATTACTGAGCATGTTGGAGGCTACAGAACGTTGATTCATGTGCATTATAATGAGGAGTAAAAGCTTCCCTTTCCCAGTCATGAACACTTATTACATCCTCTCAGGGGCCGGATATCTCAGAATGTGTGCGTGCGGTTTGTAATCCAACTCACAATGGCATCACACCAGAACTCAGCCACCTCTCCAACACGCATGGACGTCAACAGGGTCTCCCAGACTTCCATCTTAAACATCTTTCCGACAAAGATCTCTGCCGGTCTGCCAGCTAGTCGGCTGTCATCAATGACTGTCCTCTCGAAGTTGTCCAACAGTGTCTGGAAGTGGAAAACCAGCTTGGAAAGTGGGAACAGGGAGAGTACAAGAGATTAATGACACAAACTACAGTCAGTGGAGACTTCACTAAACATATAAAGTGGCCACTGATTTTTCAACAAAATATTTAATATACAGTGTGGTGAAAAACATTTAGCCCTTCCCTGATTTCTTAGCTTTTTGCATTTTTGTAACATTTACATATTTCATGAAAAACAACCAGATTTTCCACAATCAAGTTGTTTACAAAACAAGACAAAGATAACCTGTGTGAGTATAAAATACAGTTTTGATGATGATTTTATTAAAGGGGTAAAAGCTATCCAAACTTAACTGGGTGGAAAATTAATTGTCCTCTCTTGTTAAATCAGGAATTAGTTCCGATTAACTTTTTTTTCCCACTTTCACACCCAGCCTGACTGCTGCCTTTTGAATTGAGAAATAGAAGCAATCTGACAAAGTAAAAAAGTCCAAAAGAGCCCAAAAACGTAAGAACAGAACAAAGTCCCTGACATCTATCAGTCTGGGAAGGAAAAAGTCATATCTAACACTTTGAGACTCCACAATGGGAGCCATTATCCACAAATAGAGAAAACTTGGAACAGAGGTGAACCTTTAAGCAGTGGCCAGCCTACAGAAATTACTTCAAGAGCATCAACTAATCCAGGAGCTCATAAAAGAACCCAGAACAACATCTGAAGAACTTCAGGCCTCACTTGCCACAGTTAAAGCGTTCATGATTCAACAATAAGAAAGACGAGGGAACAATGGCATCCATGGGAGAGTTTCAAGGTGAAAACCACTGCTGACCAGAAAGAACACGAAGGCTCGTCTCACCATTTGCTATAAAACTTCTTAACTGAAGACATCCTGAAGACTTTTATAAATATATTATGTCCCATTGCACCTGGATGACTTGCTGTAATTCATTGAACCATACATTTTTTTCTCTTTCAGAAAATCTTAAGGACAATGAGGAATTCCACATCTGAATGGCTCAATAACAACAATATGAAGGTTTTTGAGAGGCCATAAGTTAAGACATAAATCCATACTTTGAGATGACCTCAGAACACCTCTAATGTGGCTGAATTACAACAGTTCTGCAAAGAAGAGTGGGACAGAAATTCTCCACAGAGATATGAAAGACTCATTGCCAGTTGTCACAAACGCCCGGTTACAATTCTTGCTGCCAACTAATTTCTAGTTTTAGGGGGCAATTACTTTTCCACATAAGCCTAGGTTTGGATACGTTTTTTCTCTTGACAAACTGAATCATCATTTAAAAACAATATTAAAATTAATTTGACCACCTGAAACATGTAAATGTGACAAATATGTAAAAAAATTATATATATATCAGAAATACGTTTTCACAGCACTATACAGAAATAATAATTTTAAAAAATATCTTTGTCTGCAAATACTTACATCACCACCTAAATCTTGAAAGTTTTCTTAAAGAATTTCCTGCAGTCAATATAAAGGATCTACCACATCTTCTCAAAGCCTATTGATTGTCCTTTTCTAGTGAATGTTAATTTGTTCCATTGATTGCAAGCTTTAAAAGCCCATTAAATCAATGGCTAAAACAAAAATAGTTTTGAATTACACAAGAAAACTAAAAAGCCCCCTTTGTCATTTCCAAATAAAAAAAAAGTCCAATTTAACTTGAAAATTATTTTCTTGTATATTTTGTAAATATAATTTACAGTAAGTACTTTTAAACTGAATGACATACATGATATATTTCAGACATCATCTGTTTGCGTGCATCTAAGAGTCGTCAAGGTTTTAGCATCACCCTGACTTAAAAATAATGTTGGATCTGTGTAACCTTATTTATAGCCTGACAGATTGCATGTAATCGCAACAGTCTGATAACTGTGTGAACAAATGGGAATCACCTCACTGGGGAGGGAACGCACACATCCACACACGCGCGCACAGGTAAATGGAAATTCATGCTGGCATTGTCATGGAAAATATTTGTCACAGTGTCCAGGCTCGGTGCCATATGGCTGGATGTGACTAGGAAGGGAAAAAGTCGGAAACCAGCAGATCAGTGGAAGCACAGAAACAAAGATACAGTGCCAAAAAACATGTTGCAATTTGGTTGACCAAATGTTTGCTCTGTGTGCATGAGCCAGATACAGAATAAATTTTCTAACTTCATGAATAATTCAACAGAATCTAATTGAAGTGGGCATTGCAACACACAGCTAAAAATAGACACCCAAGATAGACATTCCCCCCCCGTGGAACATGAATTACTCCACAATGGTTATTATTGTACACACAATCAGTGTCATCAACACTGCGTGATAACCTACCCTAACGATTAGGTTATCACGTTAACTGCAATTTAGAATACCTTTGTCCCAGGTGGAAAGTGAGGTAACGGTCCACTGCCTCCTACCAGAATTTTCTTCCTGACACCTGGATAGTTGAGAAGGTATGTCTCCTCCATTGCCACGCTGGGAAACAGAAAAGTGTGTTTTCGAAATGTCTTTCTCCCTCTAGCTGTGTTCTTTTGACTTTCTGATTAGCCTAGTGGCAAGAGTCTTGGCTAGTTTGCTGCTCTCTGACAGATGGTAGGATTAGACAGGGTTTGGAGATGGCCACTTTAATCTGAGGAGCTAATCCCTTGCCTACTCCGGTGATTGGTGGGGGCAATCCCTGTTGGAAGGAGAAGGGAGAGGCGGGGATGACCGCTGAATCATGTGGATGAGAAAGGCCGAGATCGGTCTGGAACAAGTAAAGATCATTCTGGAGGAAGAGTGCTCTGATGACGCAGTGATGTCCTAAAGATGCAGCTGTCCCTCAGCTGGGAGGCAGAGGGTGTACAGAGAGCATCCTTCCAACTAAATCTGGCCTTAGGCTCCAAATATTCATTACTTTTAGTGTTAATCAAACTTTTTTTTTTTAGATTAGATTGTTCTGCTACTTTTATTTATATTTATATTTAACTTCATTATCATTTATTTATCTGGGCAAAAGTCTAATTGAGATCAAAATCTCTTTGCCAAGAGAGACCATGAGAGCACAGGAAATTACAACCAGTACAACATATAAACATGTAACAAAGAAACAAATACAATATTTTGCACAGACAAGTGCAAAATATTGCACTTGTCTGTGCAATATTCTGTTCTAAATTTGGGGACAAACATTTTTATATTACTGTAAGAGTGTATGACGTATTGGTTGAGGTTGAGGTTTTTACACATAGAGAAACGCAGATGAGAAGGCACCAGTCCAAGCAGAGATTTATAGATAAAAGCCAACCAATGGGAAAGTCTGCAGATATATAGAGATGGCTATTTAGTTGCAAACAGATAACAGTGATGTAAATGATTTCCACAGCCAGTGCAGTATTTAAGCTCTTCAGGTACTGGTCAGGTGCAATCATAAAAAGAAGATCACCATAACATAATAAAGGTAAAAAGATGTAAAATGTTGCATAAATCAAGTGTTTCTTCACTCACTTTAGGTTTCATCTTGGACGCAAACCTTTAAATGCGAGTAGTAAATGCTCATTTCTGATCTTTAATGATACCTGGAGACTTGTAAGATGTGGCCATTTCACTTTGAGCCCCTTGAATGTTTTGATCTTTAGGATAGAAAACAACTCCGTCCATCCACTTCTCCTTTTCAGGGTCATGGGGGTCACTGGAGCCTATCCCAGCTATCTAAAGGTGAGAGGCAGGGTACATCCTGGACTGGTCACCAGTCTGTAACAAGGCTAACACACAGAGACAGACAACCATTTACACTCAGCTTTTTACACCTATGGGCAATTTAGATTTTTCAAATAACACATGGTATTGAACCCAGGACCTTCTTACTGTGAGGCAACAGTGCTAACCACCATGCTACCACGCTCTTTAAGCTTAAAATACATTAAAGTGTGTGACATAGTACTGATTCTGAGCCAATAAACAAAACTTGTAGCTGAGATAGACTATTCATGCACATATATAGGACATCTATTTCAAGGACACTTAAAATAACATTCTGTAGTACACTCTTGAGTCAGATGAAAACCAAGCCCCTATTGTTGCTCATAACCGGTAGTTTCACCCTCTTACTTGAGCAAACCTGTCTCAGGCTTGATTGGTACCTTCTCCTGGTGAAGAGGTTCAGCTCTTTCAACAGATGTTCAGTGGGATTAAAACTGGGATTCATAGCAGGGCACCACATAAAGGTCACCTTCTCAACCCGTGTGGAGAGCTTTTAAATGTATACTTTGGGTCTTTTATACGATTGGAGGAGCCATGACCTGCAAGTGAGACCGAGCTTTGACAATAGATATGTTCCACCTTGATACTTGATGCACTGTGCCGTGCAGTGTTCGATGTGATTTGTGCACAAGCCCGTAACATGTCTTTTACTAAAAAGGAGGCAATTCATTTTTCATAGTGAAGATTGTGTCCTTTTCATGAAACTTCATTTCAGATTCTGTTTTCCCTCTGTGAACCCAGAGCTGATGTAACTTACCAAAAAGCTCTTAATCATGTTTCATCTGTAAAATTACTTTCAGAAATACTGGCTTGTCAACATGAGCTTTTCTGTTTTCTCTTTTAAAAGCGGGGTCATCGTGGGTCTCTCCCCATACACCTGCTTTGATCTCGCCGGCTTGTTATGTGTGTTTCGACTCTGACTTTATTTGGTTCTTCTTCCTTTTTGTTAACATGTTAAATCTTTCAGTTGATTTTTGGCTGTTGTGGTCGTTTCTCATGAGGTTAGCAATGGTCCCGCAGACGTTGAGCCTCCTTCTATTACAAATTGTTATCATAAAAACATCAATATGCCTTGAGATGGCCATGCAGCCTTTACCTCGATTTCTTATGGTGCACACAACACCTAAAAACATCCATTTGGAGACTTGAACTATTCTGTTAAACACAGTCCCAGATAGCCTGTATTAAACTTGCACCTGTATTGGCTTTTGCTACGGGTTAAAGGTACTTTACAACAAAAAAGCTCAAATTTAGCAGTCAAAGTCTTTGCTACTTCTATATCTACGTCCATGAAAATATAAACACAAACAAATTTTAAAGAAGAAAACCAATTCCAGTGACATTAAAGGTATACGTAAACTATCCTGGCATGACTTAAACCCAAATCCCTCAGTGGAAAGTATATTACATAAAAGTTAAGCAGTAAGAGCTGTTTGCAGTAGAGCTGCAAACAGCTCTACGCTGCCACAATCAGGTGTGTTTGAACCAAAATCCACCACGACCATGCTGGTCATTAGTACCAATGATGTAGGAATATATAAACAAAAATAAATACATTTTGTAACTTATTTTTCTGACGGGTAATAAAATAAATGTTGACCTGCAGTAAACATTGGCTAGAGACAATTTGTCTTTAAGACAATAAACACCCAGACAACATTAACCACTGAGGTGGAATAGTTTAATCACAGTAACTACAAACGCATTTTGTCAACTTAAAAACACAAACTTTGAGTGAACCAATCTGTGTGCTGTGTAATAGGAAAATCACAAATTTAAAGGAATGACACAGCAACTTCCAATAAAAATTCTCTTCTCCCTGGATGAAGGCTTTTCTCCTCCTTGTCTTTCCTGTATGCCAGAAGATGACATGTGACTGCCCCCTGGTGGTCACTTCTCTATCAGTGAGTCCAGCTGCTCCTGCAGGGAGGCCAGCTGTTGGAGCAGAAAATAGAGGGCGTGATTGATGCCCAGCAGCACCGTGGTGTAATTGGTGGGTAAGTGGATGATGATTAACATGTCTTTTCACATTAATTTGCTGCAGTCATTTGTCAATACAAACAACGACCCTAGACAGTGGGTGGCCACTATGCCATAGCTACAAAAAGGACTCCCCTGGTAGCTGCTGTCAAATTAAATTGTGCTTGATTGGTTTTCAACTTTGCTATTAGGCATGAAAAATGTTGGGTTGAAAAAGAATAGCAAACACAACACCATCCGCCGACATGATATTTGACATTCATTCAAGAGAAATTCATGCAAAGTGCTGAAGGCTGTAGAAAGCTCACAGTGAGCACTGATCCTTGGCTTTTACAAAAAGGTTCTTACCTGCTCCATCTCCCGCTCCTCCTGCTGAATAATCTCATCCAACAAGGCTTGGAAACGGTTCTGTAAGAGCAGAGAGGCAAACAAGGTTTGTTTGAGTCGACATGCTGAGCCTCATTAAATTGTGATGGCTTTAAATGTGTGTCGGCCTGGGCTGTTCGTGTCAGTATCTCCTCTCTGACAGAAAGGCCACTTGGAATGCCAGTCAGAGACAGCTGACCTTTTCCATGTGACTGTGATAATAACGACTGGAGATGGGGCTCTGACGGTCCCAAAACACTGAGCAATGAGAGCGTTAAATGGCAACGTAGGAAGGGTCGTGTCTGCTCATGTTTCACTCATTGTAAATTCTCCACTAAAGAGTGCTGGGCATAAGAATGAACTTTCAGCTCCTTTTTTGTGCATGGAAAAACCTACAGAGAAAAAGGCTAGCAGCAGAGATGCAATATTCTGGGTTTTAAAATAACCATTTAAAAAAATAATGTCCTCCAACAATGTGTGAAATCAGCTGTTATTTAGGTTTTCCCGTCACCTTTGAGAGAATTTATGCTGCATGAACAATTTTGCCTCCAAGCTCATCTGCATGTTCTTGTTTACGTCTCTGTACATGCAGACCTAGTTTTTGGATGAACGGGTGAAAAAAGTGTGAGTGTTTTCAGTGCTTACTTTGAGGGCCTGGTTTTCCACTTTCATGATGAGCTCCTCCTGCTGTTTCTTGCGGGCACGAGTTTCCTGAAGCTTGGCCTTAATGTTGTTGATCTGCACCTGGTACTCCATAACTGCAGGACACAGTGGGAGGTTCATGTGTGAGGGCTGTCATAAAAACACTTATGTGCTGCAAAGAGGAGGCAAAAAAGGTTGGAGGGCGAAGATGATGTGACATAATTTGAGACACTACACTTGCCACGGGGACAAGATATGCAGCTTAGCTTGCTGAACCATAAGGATGCTTCCAGTTCAGTTTGACAAATTATCCATAATGGGAACAATCAGTCAACTTAAAAGGACACGAATCAGCAGGATGCAGTTCTAAAAAGACACAACTAAATCAGTCTGCTTTGTGCACCACACAGAGTTCTCATCAAATCCACCCAGAGTGACCATGTCTCACAGAAACCCGTGGCTCCACCACCAATCAACCATCTTATAACTAATTGTATCCATTCACCGTTTTCCCCTGGCTCCAAAATCTGACAAAGCTGTTGTAATGCAGACTATCTAACAATAAGGAGGCCATGTGAACCCATTCATTCAACTTTTACAGCTATGCATGGATGCCATCATCATGCATGGCCTGGCTCCAACATATTGAGAAGGGCTCCGCCAAGATGCTACAGTAGAGCTGGCCAGCAGTGCTGCCTGACTGACAGTTCTATGTATCTAGCTAAGGAGGTATTGTGCTGTCAAACTGGACAGCTCCCTGAGCCTCCTGCTGAGCCACAACACCTGTCAGACTGGTTAGTTGAAGAGGAGAGCTGAGAGCTGTCAGAATGAGCATCTCTGTGGGTGAGGGCGCAGCACGTGTATTTAAGTAAGGCTATTTATTTGAATGTGTGTGATGAGCTAGAAAATTCCACTTCGATTAAAAGTTCAGACACCTTGCTCAGGTTATTTTTGACCTCTACTTCGACAAGTATCTCTGGGCAGCCAAGCCCACTTTCTTGGCTGTGACTGCTGCAACTGAAAAATGAACAACTGTTGGTATACAGAGCAAGTCGGCTAAGAGAAAAATAATTATCTCTGTGGTGTAAACTGCAAGCACGGCATGAAAGATTGCATAATTCTAATGCGGCACTTACTTCACATCCACCTGGGTGCACACACACACACACACACACACTCTCTTTACTGCATAATGTATAAAGAATCACATATAATAATCACATCTATCTCTCCTGTGTTTAGTTGTTTTCATAAAATAAAAAAAATAAAAAATCTGATTAGGGATGCTGGTGAGAGATTTTTAACAACAAAATGTAATTTATATCAGTTGGACTGCAGCTAGTGATGATTTTATTTATGAGTTAATGCAGCGATGAAAACTATATACGATGACTTGTATATAGTTTTCTGCCTCATACCTATCTGGTTGTTTCTATCACTTTCATTCTGTGCAGAATCGGACTCATTAAGTTTGTCCTGGAGCTGCTGGACCAGATCATCCTCTGTGTCCATGATATTCAGGTCCTCATCTTCATGCCGGTCCCCTTCGTCCTCCTCGTCCTCACTTGAACTGCTGATGTCATTGAAGATCTCCCTCAGTTCATCATGCTGGACTGGTGATGCAGAAAGCACATTAGCGTTAGAAACGCAAACACAAAGATGGAAACAGCGAGAATTTAGAGCACTTGCTCTGGGATTAATCTAGGTCACAGAGCCAACAGTCTACTGGAGCTTTAAAACTGGGCTTATATGACAGGAAGGAATAAGTGTGGAGTCCAAACAACCAGCCTGCTCTTCTCTTACATGGCAAAAATAACTCTGCTCCAACACTTGGCAGTACAGTAGAAGTCACTCAAGCATGAACCACTAGATAGTTTAGCCACATACCTCAAGGTATGGGAAGGAATGAAAGGAGGAAATAAAATGAAATGAGGTAAAAAGGTTAGGGAAATGTTTTGTTCATAATTGCTTGTTACAGCAGCATTAATTTGTTCATGACTGTTTTATGAACAATCTGATTAGCTTTATGGATAGATCATTTAGTATGCATGTGTAGGGCTGTTCGATATAACGATATATATCGGATGACGATATAAAAACATCTATCGTTTCATTTTACGCTATCGTTTGTTTCGTGGTGTCGCAAAATAAACTGTTTACGGCAATATTTTTTCATCGTTTTGATGTTACTGTAGTGGCTATGTTCATTTCTTAAAGTTCTCTCTTTCTCTTAAGCTGGGCAGACACTGTGCGATTTTTTTCAGTCGCGTTATTCAGCTCCTGCTCAAACTGTACGATTGACTTGCAGGGGTTAGTTGGTAAGTTGGTAGGTCATGATGCAGGGTGTCACACTATACAGCCGATGCTGTGATGCGACCCGAGTGCTCACACTGTGCGTCCATAAAAATGAAGGTTATAACAGAAAATCTGACGCTCGCTCTCCCTCTCTGTCTTTCACTCACACAAACACGCACAACACCACCATCAACTTTGCTAAATTGCTAATGAAAAACATTGATCAGGCAGCTGTGATTGAGCAGCAATGTCCATCCAACTATTTTCATGGTTGTTGTGGTTATGATCATTTTGTGAGGCCATAGTTCTACAAGTTGTGCCTCCATCGCTTGTGTCCAGATCACACGCTGCACTGCTGTGCTACTCCGTCTTTTTCACCGACATTTATGTGTTTGCGCGTGCACAGTGTGAGCAGCTACGGCGACACCCTCACGACGGTCGTGAGGATTTCAAAGAGGTTTGAAATCCTCACGACCAAGCGATTGATGATCGGGAGCTGGTCGTGAGGTGTTAATCGCTTCTCGTTATCCCACGTATACTACACGATGCACGATGAAGGGCCAAAATCGGGGCGATCACTAAAACGGTCGCACAACTGAAAAATCGGCTCAAAATGGGCCAAAAATCGCACAGTGTGAGCCCAGCTTTATATTTAATATAACCACACCACGAACGATTTTATGCGTTGTCGTTAGCAACAACGACAGTAAAACCATCGCGTGTCCGCTTGTTTATTTTCCACATAAACCTTTCACAATAAAGCTCAAGATCCTGTTGAGACTTTTCAAAATAAACCGAATCACGTGAAAGAGTATGCAGTGTTTACGAATGGGAAGCAAAAAAGAGCCGTCAGGTGCTAAAAAAAACAAAACCTTAGACTCAAACGTTAGAACAGGCTTTTCCCCGCAGCACGCTGTG